TTGGAGCAGCCTGGGCTGGTGGGAGGTGTCCCTGCCCATGGCAGGAGAGTTGGAACTAAGTCAGAGAGCTGCATTGCTTCAACCTGGTTGAGTTGAAGTGAGTTAGAACAGAGCTGAAGCAAAGTTGTGGGATGGGGATGCCTGTTGGGCCAAGAGCTCTGTGCTGTCTCTGCTGTTCATCACCTGGCCCTAGTGGGAATGGCACATGTTGGCTTGAGCTCTGAAGCGAGAGCTGAGCTGCCCTAGATGGTTGTTAATCCAATATTTCTTTAAAATCTCCCCACGCTGGATTGGCTGTGCTCTTTCAGAGACCTGCCTGGGAGTTTTCTCCAAGCTCTTTCTCTGCCCATCCTCTGAGCTCCTGCACAGTTCCCTGAACCTCTCCAGTCCCCCATGGCCTCCTGTTTATAACACACCCCTGGTGCTTGTGATTTTATCTTCTCATAACACACTGCTAAGATTTACCCTTTTGTTTTCCTTTTTGGTCCCTTTCTCCTGGGGTTTTATTTCTACTCCATCTGAAGGTCTCCCTGGCCCCTCAGTGGTCCAGCCATGCACTTTCTATGGCAATAACTTCTGCTGCTTTGTTCATGGTTGTCCAGAGGCACGTTCAGCCTGCCAGGACTTTGGTGCATTGGAAAGACTCTGCTTTAAGCCTGTAGAACCATCAGCTTCCCTGATCAGCCAGTAAAGGGTTTTGGCCCCACTGTGCTGAGTGAAAAGAGCCTGTGAAATCATATTTAAGGTTGTCTTTTGAAGGTGCCCTTTGGAAAAAAACAAAACTCCTGCCCATGATGTTCAAGTCGGGTTTGTAGTTAACACAATGGACCCGCCGTACAAAGCCCCGCGGGACCGCGGGCTGGAAAAGCCCTCTTAGGTCCCAGCTAATCCATCCCCCCCGCCAGCCTGGGGGATTGTTCCCAACAGCTTGTTTTCTTTGCCCTGACCTACATAGTCAAAAAGAATCTTGTTGCACATTTTTGTTTTGTACCTTGAGGTCTCGGAGGAGCTAAATCCCCTTCTTGGCGGGGCGGGATGTGTTGTTAAACAGTGCTTGGAGTCTCCAGGATAACCATGGAGACGGGGGGACAATGAGCCCTCTATGGTCCTGGCTTGGCCGTGGGATGGTCCTGCTTCTCCAGGCTTCAGTGGTGGGCGCCGGGTCTCGCAGACGCGGGCGATGAAGACGTCCCTGCACTTGGCAGCTTGTTCCCCAATAGAGCGGTCACAGCAGCTCTCCAAGGCAGAAGGTTGGGGTGGGGGGAAACTCAGCCACTCTTAATTAACCTGTTTTAGATGATGGGGGTGAAGGCTGCGTCTCGTGTGCCCTGGGCTGTGCTCTCATGGGTGGGTTGAGTGGGAAGTACCCTTCGGGGCAAGGAGGGAGGTCCTTGATTGGAAAAGACGTGGGAGCACCTGTTTGGGTTTTAAGGGAAATCAGGATGCAAAGGGTGGGGTGGAAGAGGGCATTTAGGGAACCTGGGCTGTAGTTTGGTCGTCCCTCACCTGAGTCAGGTGGGAAGGATGGGGCACTGAGGGGGTCCTTTGCAGAGTTGAGGACCTTCAAGTGTGAATTTTGGGGGTCTGAAGCAGGGACTGTCACACACAGCTGGACTAATCCCCTTTTTCCTTCCCCAACTGCTGGGGTCAGAGGTTGTTTCTCTGACAAAAAGCTGGAAACCACCCGGGACACTCAGTCTCCTCTGGCAGCTGCGTTCACCCGAGATAAACCCCTGAGCTCCTAGATGGGTCCCACAGCTCCCCAGGGAGCTCCCATCATTAGAGATGCTTACAAAGCTCTTGGAAGATCCTGAGATGGAGCAATTGTGATGAGAAATCCTTCTGGCATGGTTCAAATCATGCCAGAGGCTGTGTGGACAGAAGAAATCGATGGTGTCTTTTACCCTAGAAGTCCCTTCTGCTCTTGCTGAGGCCATCAGGGCTCTGGGGTTCTTTGCCATCCATTTTCTTGGGATGTCTCAGTCCTCATATTCCCTGTACTGCTAGTTCACCCCAGAAATAGAGATAATGTAGCAGGAGTGCACAGTGGTTCAATTACTAAAGCTATAGTTAAATTAATATTAAGAATTAATTATATTATCGATTAAACATTAATGAATTATTCTATACTTATTAAGAAGTTAGTAATTAAAAATTAGCAGAGTCATATTAAACATCTTATTTTTGTTTGTTTTTTCCTTCCTGTGGCTGCTGCAGCTCTTGGATCTCTTCATCCAGTGGGACTGGTCAACATATTTGGCTGACTATGGGCAACCCACGTGCAAGTATCTCCGTGTGAACCCGATGACAGCCCTTGTCCTGCTGGAAAAGTGAGTGCTCTTCCAGACACCTGGGATGGTTTTTTCACCCCATCTTGCTTTGGGCAAGCCTATGTTTGAGAAGCTCCTTCCATCACATATTGTGGTGGGATGGAGCAGCCTGGGGAGCAGGAAGCTCCTTGTGATCCGAGGAGCAAAAATGTCACCACTGGGTGGGCAGTGGGAGCTCAAATAGAAAAATCTAATTTTATGCCACTAATGGAATTCCAGGTTTCTTATAAAAATGCATTGACTTGGCTGAGGGTCGGTCTTTGTGCTTCACTCAAGCAGAGTTTTGTCTTTTTGCCCCAAGCCTGTTGGTTGTTAAGAGGCATTTGTACAAACCCTTAATAATGTGCTTTAACTTCTGGTTATCCTTGAAATGGTCAGGCAGTTGGACTAGATCATCACTGAGTTTCCTTTCAACTGGAACTCCTCACCTCTCTTGTTCCTTCTCTCTTCTCTCCCTTCTGTTGGATCCATGGAGAGGATCAAGTGCTAAAAGTCCACCTCTGGGACAGAGATAGTATCTTTAGGTGGCCACATGTGCTCCATGGCTTGCCCTTAGCAAGGGCACACTCTTTGTAAAAGCTGAATCTGAGCCTCTCTGAAGCCTGTAGTTCAGCCCAAGTCCTGGAGCAGTGCTGGGACATGCCAGGCAACCCCCTGTGGCCTCTGTGGGATCCCTCCTGAAGCATGGTGAGGTGGTTTGTGCCAGTCTTGCCAGCCAGCAGCAAGGAGGGAAAGCCCATGAGGTTGCTGCAGACCCAAAGAGTGGGAATTGCCATCCTGCCCGTGGTTGGAGGTAGCCCAGGTGACCCTGTTTCTGGTAGACCTCCAGGCTCTCATTGGGAGGCTCAGCCCCACTGCTGCCCTTTTCCTACCATCAGACATCACAGCTGATCTTCCAGCTGATCTGACAAAGAAGTAACCTGCCAAGAATGAGAAATAATACTTTTCCAAGCAGGTTAAGTGAGTTGCAGTTAGATATGGTTAGATTACCATGAAATCAGACCCTGAGGAAGAGTTTGAGTTGTTTTTTTGAGTGCCTCTCTCTTTCTGTTGCTTGCAGAGGATGAGGTGACTAGTTTAGGGTTGGGGCTACACTTTTAGAAGACTAACTTTGGTGTGCTTCTGAGCTTTGGAGTTGTATCTATGTTGTGTTCCCTGTAACTGCACCACCTCCCCTCCTGCTGAGGAGAACAGCTAATGTCACAGCAGCTCATGACATCCAAAGGTTACCAGTATGGCACACAGGGACTTAACTCAGGCAGTTGCTGTGTGCAGAGTACTTTTACATACCATAGCATTGGGTTTAGGTACATATTTATACGTGTTGTGTAATATAGAATCACAGAATGGTTTAGGTTGGAAAGGACCTTAAAGATCATCATGACCTGCAGGGATGACATAATCTCACCCCAACATCCATGGTGGAGAAGTGTGAGATATGTTCAGAGCTATCAGTGCAGTGGTAGAAATCTGAGAGCTTGAAGTAGCTGGACAAGCCAGGGAGCTGAGTGCAGGGAGTGAGCTGGGACCCATGGCAGTTGCTCAGAAGGGGGTGGGATGGGAGGACAACTCCATGCTCCTGGCTGTTTTTCCCAGGCAGCACTGGAGCACACAGGATCCATGTTCAGTGCTGATATTAAAAAGCCACAAACCCTGGCTCAGCTTGCCAGCCTTCTCCTCGAAAGGGATCTCGCTGGAAGGGCAATCATCACATATCTGTTTTGCTTCCCAGAGGCAGCCTTGGTGGAGTCACTGGGTTGGCACTTGTGCAAATCCAGAGGAAGCCACAGAGATGCTCAGGGGGCTGGAGCAGCTCAGCTCAGGAGACAGGCTGGGAGAGTTGGGGTTGTTCAGCCTAGAGAAGCTTCCAGTACCAGGAGGGGCTACAGGAAAGCTGGGGAGGGACTTCTGACAAGGGCAGGGAGGGATGAGGGGGAATGGCTTTCAAGTTGAAGAAGAGAAATTTAGATTTGGCATCAGGAATAATTTTTTTCTGTGAGGGTGGTGAGACCCTGGCCCAGGTTGCCCGGGGAAGCTGTGGCTGCCCCATCCCTGGCAGTGTTGAAGGGCAGGTTGGATGGGGCTTGGAGCAACCTGGGCTGGTGGGAGGTGTCTTTGTCCATGCAGAGGGTTGGATCCAGATGATCTTGAAGGTCCCTTCCAACCCAAACCAGTCTGGGATTCTATGATCTCCTGCATCCTTGGTGCGTGGCATTGCCAGCATGGCATCGCTGCATGCTCTGGCAGGCTCTGCCCTCTCCCTGCTCAGCCCCAGGCACTTTGGAGAATCTCTGTCCATCACCCACCACCTCCAGCTTCCCCAAGACTCTCTGCTGACCCAGCCATAGCTTCAGGCATCTCTGCTCCAAGCCCACCTCCCCAGCCCCCTCCGTAGGCAGCCAAGCTTTGCTGACAAGGTGATGGGAAATTCTGATCCGCTGGTTCGTTTTGTAACTTGTTCTCATCGTTATCTCTTTTCCTAATCACACACCTCTCCTAGGATATCCCGAGTGTAAGTATGCTGCGTGCTTAGGCTTTTACCCTCACCTTGCAGTGACTTTATTGTTTGATTTAAATGGAGCACTAAACGATCTAAATGCAAGCTGCCTTTGAAACAGTTCCCTCCGGTAACTTTATCGTCTCAAATGCACTAATTAGAGCTAAAAGAGGAGCTTTTACTCTCTTGCTTTTTATTTTTCTTTTCTTTTCTTATAGATTAATTTAAACAAAGCTTGGCTCTGTTGAAGGTGGTGTTTGTTGGTGGGGGAGGGGACAGAGCTGGGCTCTCTCTTCTTTCCTTGCCTCTTACTTTTAATTCTTGCGCTAATGCACAGGGACCACGTTACAAAACTGTTGGCCCAGGGCTCTGCAGGCAGGTGCTTAAATAAAAGTGCTGATCCTCCAAAGAGCTGCTGAGGTGCTGGGAAGCATTGCCTCCCTCTTCCAAAGCTGAGATTCCTGGGGTCTGAATGCACCACTTGATCAGGGACTGGGTATTTTCCGTAGCCAAATGTCGGGAAAGAAACAGGCCGGCATTTCTGAACACCACTGACACCAGCCTTGTTACCTTGGCTTGGTGTCCATCTGCAGGGCTCTGATGGCCAACATGGTCTCCTCAAGCAGCTCTGCAAGCTCAGCCTCTCCCAAGGATGCAGGTGCTGCCTGGTCCCTGGCACAGCATGTCCAAATTTCAGGGGTTTGGGTTTCCTGTAGGCAACTTAATTCGTTAGTAATACTTAACAGCTTAGTTCCTCTAACCTTCACATGGTGTCTGAAGATGCCAGCAGCTCTCATCCCCTCCAGACACTTGTCCCCAGCTTAACAGATCCACCTACATGGGTTTGTTGGGGGATCAGTGCTCCAACTGCTTTTTCATCCCAAGCCAGTAGCTTTCTCCATTCAACTCCTTTCTCATCATTCAAACACGTGCAAAGGTTTTCTTGCATACACCAGGTGTTGCTTCCAAAACATTTCATGGACCTGAACAGGTCCCACAGGATTTGAAATAGCTCCAAGGATGCCCAGGAGTGCTGGGGTGAGGTTTCTGAAGGTATACATTTAATTTCAGCACCTCTGCTGGCCCCAGGTAGCGAGTGAAATAGAAGCAGAGCTCTCAGTCCTCCTGGTCAAGTGCTTTGAGACCTGCTGGATCCGTGCAGCACCACAGGGGGAGGGTTATTGCTCCTGGGACACCTCTGACCTGGGTGACTCAAAAGCCTGGCTTCCTGTTGGTGTGATTGCTCCCTGGTTCTTGTGGCGGAGCAGCTGGCAACCTGCTTTGCTTAAAAATGGAGTAAAGAAAGAAAAATGCTACTTATTTTGCTGAACAAAAGTGCTCCAAGTGATCTTGTTACTGTTGGGAAGGCGGCTCAATTGTAATCCTCTGTCTTTGGACACTTAGAACTTTAGCAAATTAGCCTTTGGGATAAAGTTGTTATCCTTATCTCCAGTTCCAAGCTGGATGTTTTTGGGAGCATTTCAGATTCCCTTTGGCTCTTTTTAGGAAGAGTGAAGCATGAAAAACCTTAGGTTATTTTTTTAATCAATTAAATAAGTTTCAAGAGGTTTGATTTGTGCTCAGTCAACACAACCCTTTGCCAGGCTGGTAAAGTGCCAACTTCCCAGGAACTATCCACCCTGTGTCCCCATCACTTTATTGCTTCATTGAGGTCCCCTAGGCCAAAAACAGCTTATGTGGCTGCTCCAAATCCATCTGCCTTTGCCAGATCTGATGTACCGAGAAAATAATTTACAAATTGTGGTATAATAGAAGAGTGGTGCCAGCTGAGAACCCATGGGTCAGGTGTTGGGAGCCTGAGACCTTCAGGAGCTGTTGAAGGATTGACCCTTATGGGGTGGTTTCCCTTCCCAACACGTGCTCTGCCTGTGTAAAACTCATGCATGGAGCGTGCAACAAGACCTGCCTTCCCTGCCCCCCCAAATTCTGCATCCATGATTGCCAGCCTGCACGAGCCCCCAGCTTTGCATGGTGGAGAGAGATGGAGTTGCACCAGCTTCCCCTTCAGGTCCCATCCCACCACCTCACTCTTCTTGTCTTTTTGGAGACCTCATGGAGATCAGTGAGCTACTTCATGTATCAAATGTAATTTAAAAAAAAACCAAACCAAACAAATCTCACAAGGATTTTTCAATTGAGAAAAGCAGTGCTGGATTCCTTCCTTTAATACACATTGTATTATCTAGTATTGTATATTGTTTAGTATTTTAAGTTCACAAATCTGAACCTTGCTGACTGCCATAAGAGCTGCCTCTTTTGACTACATGCAATGCCCTCTTATCAAATAAGAAGCCTTAATGCTGTGGATTTGATGCTGATTATTGAATTTCTCCCAGCAGCATTTCTTCTTACAGCATTGTAATTTCCCCCTTCAGAAGGTGACACGAGGTCGTAGCAAAAGCCCTTTGGAAGGGGAGGGCAAGAGGCTTTAGGGTTTCCTGTGTTTTGTTGCTAGAGGCAGACCTTACAGTGACATTAATTGGGATTTGCAGGATTTAAAGCAAAGAATGGAAAGTGTGCAAAGCTTTCACCTGGCTTTGCATGCCCATCTGGGCACAAAGAGGTGATAAAAATCAGGGCAGAGCCTTTAGGTGCAGTCACCTCCTCTATCTCCGGGCACGTGAGCCGCGGTGCCTTCGCGGGGCTCGGTGGCAGCGCCGAGCAGGGGATACCTGTGCCATAACCTCTTTCTGCTCTGCACAGGATGAGAGACACGAGCAGAAAAAACAACGTTTTTGCCCAGTTTCGGAAAAACGAGAGGGACAAGCAGAAGCTGATAGACACCGTGGCCAAGCAGCTCCGCAGCCTGATCAACAGCCATCACTCGTGAGGGACACGGGGACCTCCTGCCCGCGCCGCTCCCGGCCCCGCAGCCTTCCACGTGCCTGGACTTTGGGATTCTTGTTCAAAGAGAATATATGTATTTTTTTATTCACCTGTATAGTATTCATCAAACCTACCCTGGTGATAAAACACCCCTTGTTAAACAATCCCGGGGGAAGATGTAGGCGGCACTTCTTGGGAAGGTGGTGTCAGGAGTCTATTATAAACTCCTATTTTCAGGGGTTTATAAAGTGACAGTAAATCCTGAAGCCTGAGAGAGAAGTTCACACCCAGACTATATTTTTTTTTATTTTATTTTTTTTTAATAAGCCAGATCAAAAGAATCAGTCTGACTTCCTTTCAGTAAGTTATTCAGTTGCAGAACAAGTGGAAACAAAAAAAATACAGGGAGGAGTCATGGTTTCAGGTTCTTATTCACAGGCTCCTGTAAAAGGAGCCACCCATTCAGAAAGAGGGTCACTTGTGTGTCTTGCCAACTTGTGTTTTGGATTTAGGTAGGAAAAGAGGCAAACTGAGTTCCCAACTTTTCTCCTCTTTTGCCTGGAAGGGCTGTTTTCCACCTTGCCGATCACTGGAGCATCAACCCCTTTCCCACCCTTAGTCAGCAGAGCCACCCCCTGAGCTCCACCTCCAGGACTTACTGGTGTCTTTTGGACCTGCCCTGAATGTGGAAGAGCTTCAAGAGCTGCCTTCATAATGAGATTTGGAAAAAAAAGAGAGCCAGAAGGTCATATGGGAAGGTGTGTGGTGCTGGGATGCAGCTGCTGGCATCTGGCACAGTCAGCTAGTGGGAGAGGAGGGATGCTCAGCAGAGACAGTGCCAAGGCAGACAGGGCTCTGCTGGTGTCCAGGGCACTCTGTTCAGGGTGGTTTCCTCTCTTTGCACCTTTTTTCCATGCTGATGTCCCATCTTCCCTCTCCTCCTGACTTGGTGTGATGTGGTAAAGTATATCTGCTTCTCACAAGCTCCCTGGCCTGGATTATGAGAAGGAACCTTCTGTAGGTTCCCTGAACTGGAGGCAGTGGGAGAAGTGCCCTGTGGAGCAGCATCACTCAGCTCCCCCTGGCTCAGAAGTGCCTATGGACAAAGTAACCCTCTCTGCTCTGGAAGTGCCCAAACATCCTCCACTCAGAACAAGACAGCCTCTGAGGACAGTAATGCTGCCAACAGGACTTTAATCCCAGGGTTCATGTTACTGAGAGAGGGGACTTTCACCCTTATCTTCTTGTTACCTTTGTGACTCTAACTCCTGCAGGTGAAAGCTTATCCAGCCAGATCCCCACCTCCCAAATCCTGATGTTAAAGGGAATTAACATCTTCCAGGTGTATGTCAAGACCCTAATGATGCTGCTTCAGCAGGGCATGATCCTGTTGCCTGGGGAGCTCTTCTGAGACTCAAGCTATGGATGCACAAAGGGGATGGTGCTTTATCTTCCCTCCTTGTTCCTCAGCAATATTTTTTTTCATTTGTTTGCTTGCTTTTTGATAAGGGTACATGTTAATTAACCCTGAAAGTAAATAGGCACGTTGTCAACAGTGACCTTCTGGAGCTATTGTCCTGTCCTAGCAGCCTCCAGCCACAAGGACCAGGGGATTATTTTCATTAATAGGGGGGAAGAGCCAAACTTGGTTTTACAGTTCCTTGTTTTTGGGAAGGAGAAATCAGGGGTTACTTTCCTCTTAATGCCTCTTTGGAGAACATGTAAGAAGGATGGAGGGAAAAAGAAGCAACTGAATGAAAGTTGGTGTTAGCATGTCCAGGAGTAGATCATCTTCATAGATACATCTTCAGATGACCCAGCAAAGCCTTTCAAAGGGACAAGTGGAAATTAACTCAGTCCATTCCCTACTGACAACCTCTTTCCTGCACTTTGAAATGCTGGACCTGAGTGTGAGCCAGTGGGGGGGCTTTGCCATGGCCCCTGTGAGCCCCAGGGGATCCCCAGCTCTATCTTGGCATCCCAAATCCTGCACAACTGGGAAGGAAAAATTGCCCAGCTTGCTGGACTCTGATAGGAAACTTCCTTGCCAAATTGTTGTAGAAAAGAAGGCAGGTCCTTGTGGTCCCAGCAGCAATGGGAGAGCCCTCAGCCCTCCAGCCAAGACGTGTCCCACAAACCTCAGGACCACAGGACTCTTTTATTCCTCCTCTTCATCTCTCAGAGGTGCCACCATGGGAGTGATGTGGGGACAAGGGTGCAAAAGGGGTGGCCAAAGCCCGTGGGATCTGCTGGTTCAAGCGTCAGGAGGTCGAAGTTAAAAACCCAGCTACCCAATGCTGACAGTACCAGAGGAAGCTTCAGGCCACTGGGCATGAAGGGCCATTAAATAGGAACAAGCACTTTAAAATCCTTTGGAATAAAGCTGCTACAGATGCTGGCACTGGTGTCCCTGAGCATCAGCAGGCATGACAAAGAAAAGCTCTCTGGCATTTTCCCATCTCCACCGAGCTGTAGTTGAAAGTGGAGTGACACGGCATTGCTCTGCTTGCCCAGGCTGGATTTCCTTGCTCCTTTAACCTCTTTTTTGGAGAGACTAGGATTGGGACCCTTTAAACCAGCTTCTGGCTCTCAGAACTTGCTGCTGGAAAAGTCAAACTCAGCCAAGGGAGAGATTCAGCAGGGTTCTGATTTCGGGAGGTCAAGAGCCTAACCGCAAGTCACAGATTGGGATAAAAAATGGCATTTTGGTGCTCTGGTCCTAATTAACTTTTTGTTCTAAGAGATGCATTTCCATCCCTTCAAAATAAAATTAATCTCTTAAACAGATTGCTTAAAAAGCCCTGGAAGACATTTAAAATCCTCTCTAAATCTCTTCCTAATGATTGGTGTCCTCCGATACGGAGGGTATTGCTTCTGAGGGAAAGGTTGTTGCTATAAATTTGTAAGAGGGGTGGGAAACAAGCACCAAACCCACTGCTGTGATTGAAGATATGCAACCCCCAAAACAAATAATGCTGCTATTAACACCCCCATGTACATACATTGTACCTTCCTTAGGTCGTGGTTGGTTTTTTTTGAGCAGTGGCTGTAGAAAAGGCTTGGTTATCCCCCACCTTTTCCCCATCCCAGCAAACATATTCCAGCACCAGTGGGGAAGAAATATCTATATTAACAAAAAAGGCAAGTTTGGCTTCCTGAGAAGCATCTGCACATCTTATCTTTTGTAGAATCTTCAGGGGTTGTGCAGGCAGCCCAGGGGTTAGGAATAAATTTGTCTAAGGTCTCTAAAGTGCTAATTTGCAGCCCAAACTGTACCTTTACTTGAGGGGAGAAGCCTCCATTAGGCATCAGCTCGTGTGCATGTGTGTGAGAGAGAGGAGGAGATTTTTTTTCTGAGTGTTTGTTTGTTTTGGGTTTGTTGTGGTTTTTTTTTTAATTCCTGGGGCTGGAGTTCAAGTCAGATGCCCTTGGTGATTTTGCACTTTGTTCTACAACCACCCGCAGCTCCAGGCTCTGGTGGGGAACAGGGGGAGAAGCTTTGTTTGAAAGGCTGCTTTGGTTTGGTTTGTTTAAAAAAATGGTGCCACTATCAGAAGGGACGTTTGGGCAGAAGGTGTGGGTGTTTGTGCTGGCCCCAAAACCACTGGCAGGGGGCTGGGAAGCAGCAGGAGAAGCAGAGGTTTGGATGGGGCTGACCCGATGCCATCAGCTGCCATCAGCACCTCCTGCACTGACATTGGTTTTTTGGGTAAAAATCTTTTACCCCTCCTGAGGTAACGATAGTGGGAGGCATCAGGGGAGGGAGGTTTGAGGTGGGTGTCCCTCTGTCACACCTTCCAAGCCCTGTTCAAGCCCCAGGCAGAGAAATCTTGGCCCTCGGGTGTCTGCGACCTCCTGTCAGGCTTCACTTGGCTTTTCTCTTGAATTCAGAGCTGGTTTGGGGGATTTTTTGAAGTATCAAGTGGTTTGGAGCATCAAACTACCCTCCAACACCCCAGCCCAGATGCACATCCCCTGCCCAGATGCTGTGGGTCTTCTGGAGTCTCTGCCCCCCGTTTCTCCTGGCTTTGGGGTGCCCAGAGACCCCGTGTGGGTGCAACTGGTGTTTATCACAGTGCTGGGGAGCCCCAAGGGAACATGCAAATAAATCCCACCACAGATGACTTCAAGATGGGCCCATCTCTGCTGTCAACTGGGAAAGTTTGAGGGAAGTGACCCAAACGTACTGCGCTCTGGGTGGGATTCACCCCAAAAAGAGCAGATGGAGGCAGAGGGGTGCTCAGCTTGTGACCTGGGGACCTGCTGATGGGCTTCACCTCTTCAAGCCCCTCTCTTGCACCCAGGGTCACCCTGGGTGCTCAGGGATGAGTGGGCTTTGGTTGGAGTGAGCACTCCAGCATCCATCCCACCCACAGCATCTCCAGCTCAGGGGACAGCACCCCAAAACCTCCACGGGCAGCTCAAGGTTGGGCTTCTGGAATCTGATCTGCACCCAGTTTCCTTCTGCCTTGGCTCATCCCTCAGATTTTCTTTTGACATCCCCATCCCTCATCCCCATCCCTCCCTGTCCACTGGCTGCTTGTGTTGCCTTTTCTCATTGTTTTATTTTTTGGGGTGAAGAACATGATTTTGTAAACTAATGTGGTGAGAACAGCTTTTTTTGCACAAGTCATTGCACAATAAGGGGAAAATTTAGTAAATTAGGTTTAACTTTAAAGGGAACTTTTTTTTTTTCCTTAAAACTCACTAGCAGAGCTACTGATTAAAAGAAGAAGAAGAAAAAAAAAAAAGAAACAAAAAAGAGATGGACTGATTAAAAAATGGACTGCATGGTTTACAGGTTCAATTGCATTAGAAAATTAGCATGTTGATCTCCACTGTACATTTATCCTATTGTAACTTCTATTAAACAATACAGCATCTAACTGTTTCAATAAGTGCCTGGGCTGGCTGTGGCTGTGTGCATCATGGCAAAGGCACTGCCTTTGCCTCACTGGGGAAAAAAAACCAAACCCCTAAATCCCAGAAAAGACAAGATTCAAC